CGCGGTTTTTGGCCGCTAGCGGCGAAAATCGCCCGATTTTTGGCCGGTAGCGGCGAAAATCGCCCGATTTTTGGCCGGTAGCGGCGAAAATCGCGCGATTTTTGCCCGCCAGCTGCGAAAATCGCGCGGTTCTTGGCAGGTAGCAGCGAAAATCGCGCGATTTTTGCACGCCAGGTGCGAAAATCGCATGGTTTTTGGCCGCTAGCGGCGAAAATCGCCCGATTTTTGACCGCTAGCGGCGAAATTCGTACGATTTTTGGCCGCTAGCGGCGATATTCGCACCATTTTTGGCCACTAGCGGCGAAATTCGCACGATTTTCGCCGGTAGCGGCCAAAAATCGAGCGATTTTAGCCGCTACCGGCGAAAATCGTGCATAATTCGCCGCGAGCGAATTTTTCGTGCGAATTTTGGCCGCGAGCGATTTTCGCCGCTAGCGGCCAAAAATTGCGCGATTTTCGCCGCTAGCGGCCAAAAATCGGGGGAATTTTGCCGTTAGGGGCAAAATTCGCACGATTTTGGCCGCTAGCTGCGAAAATCGAACGATTTTTGCCCGCTGGTGGCGAAATTCGCACGATTTTTGGCCGCTAGCGGCGAAATTAGCACGATTTTTGGCCGCTAGCGGCGAAATTAGCACGATTTTTGGCCGCTAGCAGCGAAAATCGCCCGATTTTTGGCCGCTAGCGGTGAAAATAGCTCCTTTTTTGGCCGCTAACTGCGAAAGTCGGTCGATTTTTACCGCTAGCGGCCAAAAACCGCGCGATTTTCGCTGCTAGCGCCCAAAAACCGTGCGATTTTCGCCGCTAGCGGCCAAAAATCGCGCGATATTAGGCCGCTAGCGGCGAAAATCGCCAGGTTTTTGCCCCGGTAGTGACGAAAATCGCCGGAATTTTGGACGCTAGCGGCGAAAATCGCGCGATTTTTGGCCGCTACCTGCTAAAATCGCGCGATTTTTGCCCGCTAACGGCGAAAATCGCTCGGTTTTTGGGCGCTAGCGGCGAAAATCGCGCGATTTTTGCCCGCCAGCTGCGAAAATCGCACGGTTTTTGGCCGCTAGCGGCGAAATTCGCACGATTTTTGGCCGCTAGCGGCGAAAATCGCCCGATTTTTGGCCGCTAGCGGCGAAATTCGCACGATTTTTGGCCGCTAGCGGCGAAAATCGCGCAATTTTTTACCTCTACCTGCGAAAATCGCGCGATTTTTGGCAGCCAGCTGCGAAAATCGCACGGTTTTTGGCCGCTAGCAGCGAAAATCGCCCGATTTTTGGCCGCTAGCGGCGAAAATCGCCCGATTTTTGGCCGCTAGCGGCGAAAATCGTGCGACTTTATCCGCTAGCGCCCAAAAATCGGGCGATATAGGGAAAATATATTAAGAATTTGTTATCCAGGAACGAAAATTGGGGATATCATAAGCAATATGAACAACAGTATGGCTGGTAATGGGATAAATCACGTTATTATGTGCGGGAGATGATAATGCAAGAGGAGTTAGGCGCGAGACGTTTAAACCAGCCAATGAGTAAGGATCATCTTCTTGAGATTCTTGAGGTTATCTTGAGATGATTTCGGGGCTTTTTTAGTGTCCCCGCGGCCCGGTCCTCGACCAGGCCTCCACCCCCAGGAAGCAGCCCGTGACAGCTGACTAACACCCAGGTACCTATTTACTGCTAGGTAACAGGGGCATTCAGGGTGAAAGAAACTTTGCCCATTTGTTTCGTAGCATTTTTCTAAGGATAGTAGTTGGAAAATGAATGGCTGTCTAGGACAATTGGAATCATTTGCCGACTTAACAAATATTGTAAAGCCTATGCAATAGCATTCATTGATAACTGGGAACACTTCTATGGAAAGAATGATATCACTAAGTACGCGAGTTCGAGCTCCTAGGCCCAGCCCCACGGGTTTTACATGTGCACAGATTCAATACTTGTGTACTGATTCTGTCATCAATTTTTTATCTAGCATCGTGTCCCCCATATCCACCTATTAGTTCCTCTATCTTGAACAACGTGTATGCGTGTATATATATGCGCGAATCCTATTATACTTGCACAATACATGAGCTATATTTAATGTATGGTCAAGGGGGTCTGAAACTACTAACACTGGGGAAGAGAATAACCAGAGGATATATGAATTTGACGTACACAATACTGAAGCATAGACAACGTATATAAAGATATAATGTTCCGGGTACAGAGAAGCAGAACACGAGGTATACATAGTTGGAAACTGCATACCCAGATGGGCCACGGAAATACAAGATAATATGCAGTCACTATGTAAGCAGTAAACACATGAACTCACTGTGCAAGCAGTAAACATTTGACATGGACTAGACAAAGAGGTGCTGCTCACAAATGCAATCCATAACTTCTAGAAAAGATAAACAAAAAAACTAGTAAAATTGCTTCAAATGCTTGATTGTAAAGAGGTGGTCCCAAGAGCCTAAACTTTCCTGTTCGTAAGCACAAGTGAACAGTGTTATACGTTTCAAGAACAGAAACAAAACTAGTGAACGTGTAGTGATCACAATTATAACCAATTAGTTACCATCAGCTTCCCCCCCCCCCACTTTACTTACCCCCAACAAGGAACGCGCTGCGCCACCAAACCCTAATTAGCCTTTGTTTACTATTCACGTGGGAAAGTAGCGACCAGGCAGACCACTCTAGTATTCCATACATATCCTATGGTGCTAAAGAGCTAGCCGGTCCCGGCACATCTTGAGACCAGCTTGGGAGCTCACACTTTTCAGAGGATTACCTCTCATTTTATGTAGCATCTTTGAGGGAAATAATACATATGTATCTATAAATTAGAATGTATGCCTGAGGCTGGACTTTGCAACCCTGATTCCTGTGGGCATGTACCCAACGGGCTGCTTCCTGGGGATGTGTGGAATAATAATAATTAGTTAGTAGTTAGTAACAGTTGATTGATTGACAGTTGAGAGACGGACCGAAAGAGCAGAGCTCAACCCCCGCAAGCACAACTAGGTGAGTATACACACACACAGAAAGAAAGAAAAAGAGAGAGAGAGAGAGTGAGAGAGAGAGAGAGAGAGAGAGAGAGAGAGAGAGAGAGAGAGAGAGAGAGAGAGAGAGAGAGAGAGAGAGAGAGAGAGAGAGAGAGAGAGAGAGAGAGACTGAGAGAGAGACTGAGAGAGAGACTGAGAGAGAGACTGAGAGAGAGACTGAGACTGAGACTGAGACTGAGACTGAGACTGACTCTCTGACAATTAAAATGACGCGTAATTGCTCGCCTCTTCAGGTCAATTTCGCTTTCATTTCTTGGGAGTTGAAACGGAGGTTTCGTGTGCGCATGACTGGCGGACAGGGTCCTGAACTGTGGTGGTAGTTGAAGATGAACAGTGTGGCTCCCACCGCCTTTCCAGCATCACCTCTACTCTCTCCTGGCTATGACAGTACGGACATTATAGCCCTACCCCCTCCTGAAGCATCTCTGCTCTTTCCTGCCTGCGACTAGACAGTCAGTGTAGCCCCACCTCGTCCAGAAGCAGCACTGTTCTCTCCTGTCTGAGTGTGACTGACTTTTAACTAGAAACTACAGGTAAACAGCGCGGGAAACAAATCATATCAATTCTCTGTAATAATTGTTTTATGTTCTTCTATTTCAGTGCTATTAAATTATTGTCTTAATATTTATATGGGTCCTGTAGCGCAGTGATCTACGTCCAAGGCCAAGGACGTAGGAAGGAAGGATCGACCCCGGCCTGGATAGAAATGGCTGGACACGTTTCCTCTCACCTGATGCCTCTGGTCACCTAGCAGTAAATGGGTACCTGGGAGTTAGTCAGCTGTTGCCGGTTGCATGCTGGGAAGGTCGTCAGTAATTGGCCTAGGCTATAATCCTAACAGGCTTACTGTCCCCCACTTTTCAGAGATTATATAAGGAAACGGCCAATTATAACCCTCTTAATATCACTATTGGGACAATTTATGTATCTCAGTACTTGTATATCGATGTGAATCCCAACAATCCACCAGTGAAGCATGGTTTCGAACCCCGTCCCTTCTAAACACGACACAGGAGCTCAACCCCTCAGTCACTAGTAGCACATAATAAAGTGATCGAATTCTCCCGTTTAATTTATCCAATATGTTCTCTCGGGCAGAAATATAGAATATCTAATCGAATTCATATAATAGCACTTTACATAGCATTAACAGATACGATACCAAAGGTACTTAACACGAGTAACAACACATTCAAAACTGTCAGACCAGCGTGGATTCGAACCCCCCTTTCGACAAAAACAATGATACGAACACTTGAGGTCGTATCGATGTGATGGAGCGTGGACGTTTGTAATATACTAATATTTATGATAACACAGCTCTCATATAATCGTTTATATAAAAAGGAATGTGTTGCAGATGCATTTAAAGAAGTTTATAGTGCACATGGGGACAGTGTTGGTCTTGATGTCTCTCCACGTGCGCCAGTCACACGCAATCCTTCACCACTTTCACCTTGCCACCTCGCGCTACATGCACTCTCCTAAAACTTATGTGCAGAGTAATCGAGCATCATACAACTCCCCATCAAACCATCCACCAAGAGACGACCCACCAACAAGATACGACCAAATACCAGGCAATCATTCAATAGACGACTACAGAGGCAACTCGACAAGAGATGAGCTCTCAATAAACACTCCGCTAAGATATGATTGCACAACTAATTCACCAAGAGACGACCACACAACAAACAACCCGCCAAGAGAAGCTCACGCAACAAATGACCACACTACAGACACTCCACCATCTGAAGACCGTAAAGCAAACAATTCAAGGAGAAATAAGCTCAAAACAAACAAGTCGACAAGAGACGTCCACACAACAAACAATTCACAAAGAGACGAATACCAAAGACCGGTTCCCATAAGCAACAAGCAGTCAACGATCAGGAATTCACTACCATCAGCTCAGGATAAAGGTCTTCCCGAGACGTATACAATACCTACGACGCATAGCAAAATGAACATTAAAAGTCGACAAAAATCACCAGCATCGTCCCTACGTACCTCTAGCACTGCAGTACGTTATTTCAATGGTATCGCTAACTCTATGGTACGCTGCCTCAACAGTACCGATAACGTCACTACGTCTACGGATCATCGTAAGTCTCTCCTGGCAGAAATAACCTCAACGCCAGACCTACCACACCAGTCCAGACCACGACGAGGTTATACAGAGACGACGACCTATGTCGGTGTCGTGGAACAAGCTAGAATTTCTTCTTCGGCTACTGAGGGAGAGGAACCACCTGCAGAAGAAGTGGCCATCATGATCTCAGACTTGTTGGCTCACAACTTGGCTGGGTGTTATAAGGTGAGGTTTATTGCTGGACTTGTACTCTCTCTAATTACCTTATGTGATATATTACAACAAAAAGGTACAATCAAATCCGAATTAGAAACAAAAACAGGGCATATACTTTCATCTGATAACAGCTGGTCCACAGGTGGTGTTATACATGGCGGAGGAGCCGTATCTGGGGCTGGTGGGGGCAGTGGTGACAGGCGTCGGGGACGGGGTCCTACTGTGGCAGCTGGACGTGTTTATCTCTGCTCTCCCGCCTCCACATGGAATCTACACCAGGACTCACTACGACTCCCCTCCCTCCCTTTGCGTCGCCTTCGTCATCCTTGCTGACCTCCAGGTGAGGCTTTAGGATCATCAATGACTGTGATCTTGATGAATCATAGACATAAACCTTCCAATTCATCACTATAATCTTGGCAATTTAATGCGAAGAGGGAGGAAGTTGTAATCGTGTGGTCTTGTGTAGGCCGTGGGGCGGGCGACAAAGGCGCTGCAGCGGGGCAGGTGGTTCCGGGACGCCAGCAAGATGGTGCTCGCTTACACCGGGCCATCCCTCCCACTCGCCACCCTCGCCCAACACCCATTCCTCGGTATCCGTCTGGTTCTGTTACGTCTTACTCTACTAGGTGGTTTTCTTCGCCTTACCCAGTCATTTCCACGACCCAACATTTATGGCAACAAATGAAAGCTTTGGTTATTCAATCATGACCAACTGTAAGTAGTATATACCCCCTGAACAAATCAAGAGCCTTTTAAGAAGGTTGCCATAGCTTCTAAAACGTCTGTCCTGTCTTCGACCGTGGCAGTTAGTCAGCGGGAGTCTACATTATTTTACGCAAAAGACTCGAGCTATAGTCAATTTTTCTATGTAATGTTTGCTTATCGATTCACTTTAGAATAGATCACAGTTTTCTAATTAAATAAACAAAACCTCGCCTTTAAGCCTCCACTGTTTGGCAAACAAAGCAAGACCACTCGTCAATTCACGAATGTTTGGTGGGAAGGTTGACGGGCAATAGTTCAAGGTGTTCTTGCCGTGGCTACGTTCATTTTCTGGAAAACATCTACAAATAAAAATAAAACTTTATATTAAAAAAAAAAAGTTTAACTTTTCGTGTAGTGTTACAAAAATGTTGTGGTTTAGCTTTTCGTTCAGATGATAGAATGCTATGACAATAAACAAAACCCTAGTCCTTTTAAATGATAGTTGGGCTCTGGTTATTGGCTTCAAATGCTATCATTCTGGAAGTAAAACAATTATACTTGAACTATGGCTAATCAACCAACACACCTGGAAACGATCCCAGTGCAAGTGGTTGTGCAACGTCCCTTTACACTGTCTTCACATAAAATACAGTACAAATTGGATGATATTAATCCAGACCATTACTTTGAAAGGGCAAATGTAGCACATACATGGGCAACAACTTCAAGCTCAACAAGCCATACTGTAGGAAAAAACAGGAGAGGTTTATCATCCATAGGGTTATAAACCCATGGAATTGTCTACCCACCGAATCCGTAAATGCCAAAATATGTCCCAAATCTCCTATAACTTAAGATCCTGAGACGCTTACACAATTATTGCTCCAAAACACCAAGTCCAATCATTCAAATCCTAGATGTGCCCCTACAAACTCACTTATTTCCACCTTTCTCTCTCTTCTGTCTGCTATCTTCATTATATCAACTTTTATTCCCTACCTATCATATAAAAACACTGTATATGACATGTAAGTTTATTCGCTACCTATCATCTGAATTAACTACACATTGCCACTTTTCTACAACTGTCATTTTAAGTGTGCACAATGTAACACATTCTCGACATACGTCTATTACAAAAACTTATATAAACGGATATTTTAATGACCTTTGTGTGGGTAGGGTCGGGGTATAGCACCGTGCTAGCATCCTGGTGGCCCTGGAAGGACGGTGGCCTTAGAAACTCCCGCGTGTACCACCTAACTTCCTCCTGCCCTTACTGCCGCGACGGATGGCCAGAGGTCAAGCTCGTCGATGTTTGGATTCCTGGCGCAGGATGCGTCTGGGGCAACCCTCTATATCCCGCCGACACTTTTCAGGCACGTTCAGTAGTTTGGTCTCCGTAAGTGATATCTTTGTCTATTTTTTTAGTTTGTTAAAACAAACTTTGTTTAGGAATATCGGACAAAATATCGACTATTCTTTTACTATGAAACACGCACTGCATATATGTTACTAGTGCGGTGTAATGCTTAAAAGTGATATTGACCCGTCTATTACAAAAACTTATATAAACGGATATTTATATAAAACTTATATAAACGGATATTTATATAAAACTTATATAAACGGAAAGGATATTTCGTTTAGCTGCATCGTCTCTTCGATAATCGTCCAAAGAATCTTTGTGAACTCCAATATTATCTCGACAGTTATGTAATTATTTATTTATCTATAGTTCACTGCAAGAGTAGTGTACACCAAGGACTTTTAACCAGAATTCCCAGATGATAGATGAAATGAAAATTGTTGCCCTTCACAACAATGATGTTAATACTACTGGGAAACCTGTCTCGCACGGAGTAGTAATATTTATACTAAAATGAGGTTGCCAATGTGGGCTAACAGATAACACAGCCCATCCTCTTGTTTTGATAGTTTTTATAAGAAGGATGAGGACCATAGTACATATACCGGTGTACAACGCAATTAGAAAATATAAATCGGTATTATTGAATTTTTGGGACACTGGAAAACGACTTTCTACTTATATTACAAAGACAAAGTAACCTAACCTAACCTTCCTAGGCCTAATACACGCTATCTGAAGCAAGCCTAATATAGTACATGTGTGTTTGCTATACGAAGCTTAGCAATATTTAAATTTGTTTTTTAGCTTTATTTTTTTCAGGCTATAAAGTGAATAGTACAAAATTCTACTATATAATTGCTTAGTACGTCAATGTTTGTATTATGGTGCACTTGGTTACAAAAAGTACTATATAAACAGGAGGCTGGGTTGGATAACATCATGCATTAACTATCCCCAAACATTGGGAAGATGAGTTGGTCTGCATTAAGTTTGGCTTCGTTTGGCCGTGACCACACGATCAATTGGCCAAAATATAGGCACCACTCGCACGGTCATGATTCATGCTTTATATCGGCGTTAATCTTCATTAGTTTCGGACCTCCCACTTGACTAGTACATCGCATTTTGACATATAAATCCCTTAAGGCCAAAAACTGATTTGCACGTTAATTTTGCGAGCCCCTATGATTTTTAATACATCTTTTTTGGCCTTAAGGGATTTATATGTCAAAATGCGATGTACTATCCGAGAGGATGGGTTGGCATATTAGCGTCACGACTACGAAGTTATCCCTTAGATGTTATAGTCAATAGTTTAAATACGCAGTTGTCTTTTGTATTAATAATTTACAACTGCTGTGATAATCGTCTGAATCATCAGGTACGGGCTTCCAACCCATTATTATTCATTGTTAGTTTGATAAACTGTGAATAGACTGCAGGTACATGTGTTAGCAAATTATGTAACTATCTAATCAAGAATGTAGTTACCTCTGTAATCCTTTAAATTACCACTCACAGGATGGGTATGGGGTGCCCGTGCCATGGTCTTGTTGATATATATATATATATATATATATATATATATATATATATATATATATATATATATATATATATATATATATATATATATATATCTATACATATATATATATATATATATATATATATATCATATATATATATATATGTATCTATCGATTGATACAGCGATAGCAGACGGCTTGACGTTTGCGAGGCACTACACATTAAAAAGTCAACACCAGCAATCAACAGCCAAATAATGCACAACTATATTCTACCCACCTCAAGACTCCGCTCCAATATAGAAGCATCAAGAAATATGGACCAATAGGCTTTCTACAATCACTTCCATTCAATACCCATTGTTTCATGTTCTGTCTTGTGTTGATGAATTTAATACCCTATTAATACCACCTCACCCCATCCACCTCACTCAAATGTAGATATAAACAAATCGGAGATGTGTAAGTTCTATTCAGTTGTGTATGTGTAAACTAAAGTCTTTGAAAATGTAATAAGTTTTACGAAACGCGCTCAAGTGTCGCGTCAGACTAGAAATAAAAATGAATTTTGGAGAATTGATTTTTGAATTACCACCAACAGTGAAAAGGAATGTACGAAAAATCGAGAAAATTCGTGTTAGAATTATTAATCTTACTTTTTCGGTCATATTTAATAATATATGTCTACAGGAAAGACTGCTACCAATATATATATATATATATATATATATATATATATATATATATATATATATATATATATATATATATATATATATACATATATATATATATATATACACTAATCGAAATTAAGGCACCCTCTTTTTTACCCTCCCCCCACCCCCCTCCTCAACAGCCTTTCTAGTCACGCTAGGCTGCACAAGCGGCTCGCAAAATTAAACGTGATGTCCCGTTTTCTATTCGTAGGTCCTTGGTTAGGTTAGGCTCGGACAATGCAGTACATCATTATAGTGACGCCCTGAATGCACGAGAGGACGGGTTGGTGTATTATCTAATTTTCATTATTTTGGGCTAGGCTGCAATTAAAACTGTTCATTTGTTGTATGTTGTTTAAGATTCAGCTGCTGGGAACAACAAGTTCCAAGTAGCACGGACTATGGTGAGCCCGTACACTTGTTGTAGTTAGGCTGCACATTTGTACTGATTCCTTGTTCAAGTACGTTTATTGAAACAATAAAATACATCTCAAGGGGATAGAGTAATTTAGGCTATTTCTAACCTCCTCTACTTCGTAGTCTCTCAAAGGGGCGCACAAATCCTGTTTCCTTGTCATGTCTGGGTTGCAATGATTCAGCGATGAAAACAGTCCATTCTTGCAGAATTTCCATGGGCACACCTTCAACATTGTGACCCTGGAGTACGCGCCTTTCATCTGTTATGATAAGCTTAAGAACGGGTATGTAAGACTGCGAGACTGCGTGGACACCCGCATACTCAACACCATAGCGTCCCACTTCAACTTCACCTACCGTGTGAGGGAGCCAAACGTTCGCCAGTGGGGCTACAAGCTGGAGAACGGCACTTACACAGGTCAGCTACCACGATGGTTTCACAGCAGAGCTGGATGCTCTCATTGTAAACAAAAAACTATATCAGGAGTTAAATAGTCTTCAGATTAAATTTCAGGAAGGGTGCCTGGTTTAAGGTGCAAATTATATAGGCTACAAAATTACACTTATTCGTCACGAAAACGTATAAATCAAAGGTAACATGACTTAAGTGTCTTAAGATTTTAAAGAAATTCGCACACATGATAAGTATCCCTTTAATTTAAAACAGGCCTCTGCAAAACTGGAGTTAAGTACTGTAGTGAATTTAGTAAATGTGAACACAATAAACATTTCAAAATTAACCAAGTGCCCACCCCAGTCAATAACAGACTGGGTGCCCACTCCAAACAATAATAGACGGGGTGCTCACTCCAGACAATAATAAATAGGGTGCCCACCTCCAGATAATAACAGACAGGGTGTTTACCCACAGACAATAATAGACTGGGTGGCCATTTCCAGATAATAATGATAAACTGAATGCCAATTTCCAGACAATAATAGACAAATTCCCACTTCCAGACAATAATAGACAAGTTCATTCACTTCCAGACAATAATAGACAAGTTCATTCACTTCCATACATACTGTGCACACTTCCAGAAAATAATGAACTCGAAAATAATAGACTGTGCATACATTCAAACAATAACAGACTTGTTGTGCACTTCCAGGCAATAATAAACTGGATGCCCAGCTTTTAGACAATAATAGAATAGATACCTACTTCTCGTTAAATAAACGAGTCCGCTCCCCTTCCTCCAGTTACTTTAACTCTACTAAACCTCAACGTTTTTGCCTCTTTCCTCAAAAGTCTTGCTCACAAGATGTTACCTCCATTCGCAGGAGTGATAGGAGCTGTGGCACGTTACGAGGCGGACTTCTCTCTGAACGTGGCCCTCACTGGGGACCGGGCGGAGGTAATCGACTACACAGTAGACTACTTCAACGACCCGCTCACCTTCTGCACAACTAAGCCACGACTCCTCAACCAATCTCTTGCCCTTATAAAGCCTTTCCAGCCCATGGTACAACTAATTTCACCTTTTATTTAGACGTTATGATAAATTCAAGAAATGTTTAATATTTTTATATTTAACGTTGGTGCTAATATTTAACAAATTACTTTCTCTTAATGGTTGTTTTAAAGATTTTAGAATCGTATTATTGTATTGTCTTGTAATTATTAATTTCCTGTTAAAATCTGTATATTGATAAAAACAAAATGCGCCTATCGCGTTGTTCTGACGTGTTAAGCAATGATAATTAAAACCTAGCCTAACCTGGCGTATTGACCCCGAAAACTAAACAAAAAAACTTGTTTGGTAGTCAGCAAGTCCCGTCGACATAGTATTCCCATACGACCTCTTATAAACGAACTGCCTTAATTTAAATAAAAATTTAACTTTTATTAATTCATAAAAAAAATTCCTCAATTTAATTAAGAATTAGGCTGATTTAATTATTAGTATTATTCAGAGAGTATTCACACTAACGTGACTATCAGTGAGAAATTCCGTTGTCTGGGGCGTGTGCGTGGGACTACCCACTACATAGGTTCGAACCCTCATCATGGCTCCTACGGAATTTCTCTATTATTATTATTAGTTGTAGTATTACTTGGCATTAGTGTGACCATATATCTGATGCAAATATAAATATACTGAATTTTAATGTAGTTCCTAACAGGTGTGGGTATATTGTATTGCAGGTATGGGCAGGGTTTCTGATAGTGCTGGTGGCAATGGGATTGTTCTACCACGCCGCCTGCATTGTAGCTCAACCCCTAAAGACCCTAAACCCGGCCCCAAAAGACACATCCCCTTCCTTCTCTCAAACATTCTTGAAAATCTTCGGCGCTTGCCTGTCGTAAGTTGCTTCGGTTACCTTCCGATATATCAATAATTTGATGTCATGCATAGGCTATTAGTCGTCTGTTGCATCTACTCTTAGAACTGAGTGTGGAGTTTGTTTCTACTATCTCCTCCTCTACTTCTACTACCACCTTCTCTATTTCTACTACCTCCTCGTCTACTGTTGAATATTAATAATATTATACCTTTTTCAACGCCTTAGTGTGGCGTTACAGAGAGGAAACGCACACTGCATCCATGGTTCCTGCCCACCATCGGAGGAGCTGGAAGAACTCGACACACAAGTAGCCTTGTACCTTGCATATGACCAATGTTGAAACCCATTTTGTGTAACAAAGTTTTAAGTAAAATAAAATGAGAAATACACAATATTTAAGGCTGATATCAAAAGACAATCCGAAGGCAAATCAAAATGTTGACGAGACCGCACACTAGAAGGTGAAGGGACGACGACGTTTCGGTCCGTCCGGGAGTATTCTCAAGTCGATTGTGAGAATGATCCGGGACGGACCGAAACGTCGTCGTCCCTTCACCTTCTAGTGTGTGGTCTGGTTAACATACTTCAGCCACGGTATTGTGACTCGTCGTCTGCAAATCAAAATGTTGTGCGCGATGCATCCTGGGGAAGGTTGGTAATTGCCCTTGATAAGGCCTCTTGATCCAGATTGCTGAAAGCTATTATTATATTTCATTCCAGGCAGGGTTTTCATTGGTCGGAAGCAGACGGTCCGCGTGTGTTGGTGGTGACGTGGATCATCTTCTCCCTGGTGACTCTCACCTCGTACGTGGCGATGCTTACTGCCTCCTTTACTCTCCCAACACTCTCCCCGACCCTCAACACATTAGAGCAGCTCGTAGAGTCCGATTTCTCCTGGGGAATCCAGGTAGGAATATGGTGGAAACGAGATGTGTCTTCAACAAGCCGACTAACTCCTGGGTATCTATTTACTACTAAGTGGACAGAGGCTTGAGGTGATAGGAAACGCGCCCAACCATTTCTGTCCCACACGTGATTCGAACCCGGAATTCTCGATTGTGAATCGAGAACGAACCCGACTGTACTATCGGGACCCTCAAACTATTGTTTTGAATAAACTCAAAATACAAATAATACATAACTACACCTAACCTACACTTAACTATACACAGAACTTTCATATATAATAATATTACTTTACATATGGGATTTTTTATTTTTAAAGCATAATACGTAAACATTGCAGAATACGTCTTGGGGGGAACGGCTCTCTCTTTAACGAGCCTGGCCTTAAATGTATAGGGTGACCCAAAATGTATATAAATGTATAGGGTGGACCAAAATGTATATAAATGTATAGGGTGACCCAAAATGTATAGGGTGGCCCAAAATGAATATAAATGTATAGGGTGGCCCAAAATTTACTGTACGGTATGACTATTTTATTAACAATCATAATGTAAAAAATAAGATACAAATAAAGTTAATACACATACTACATGAATTTTAAAAATTATAACTAAAATGCACTTTAACTACTTTTGTTAGTTTATTTTAATTTGTACACACATGATTGCGTTAATAAACTAGTACTATGGTCAAGATCCTTTTGGGGAACCCTGGTATTATGCAGTATTATGCACGTCTTTACACAAAGTAACAAGATACAAAATCTGGTCGAATTGCTTACTCGGTTCAATTTATCACAAAACAAAAATAAACCACATAGGTCTAGAGGCCTAGATTAATCATAGAAATCAATCCAAAATTGCATATGTAGTTCTCTGCGTCATTTAATATTTAAAGAACGTTGATATTTCTATGTTGGCAAGATGTTAAAGATTAACATCTTGCTCACACACTAATGCCCTGACCCTGGGTGTAGGATCAAGGTGCTGCGGATTACCAGCTTCTGAAGTCGTCACAGGTGCCTCTTTACCAGAAGGTGTACAAGGGACTGAAGGTGTGTCCGTCCCTGGATGAGTGTCTCATCATGGCTAGGGACACCAAATATGCCTTCATCACCTGGAGACTCTACATGGAGGACAGGATCGCTATCAGGTACCTCATCCAAATTCACTTTTTGACCATAGTTTCACTATCAGGTGGACAGGGCGCACCATTCGGGTGATAAGGAACACCATTTGTAGACACATTATCCAGTGAACCGAGTCGGAAAATACTCCTATCTGGCGAGGTTCTCTACGCACTATTCGATTTACAGACAGTGCATAAATTGTATGTTGCAGGTTCACCTCTGTGACGGGCGAGCGACAGTTGCATGTTGCCACCACCGACTTCGTCCACGCGGATATCGCCTGGGCTATGAATCCTGGGTGTCCCTTCCGCAAAAAGTTCAGCCAACAAATTCGGCGGCTGCTGGAGGCGGGGATCATCAGCAAGTGGCTCTCCCAGATTATCAACGACCCTACGAGGCGGCAGGCAATTGATACGGAGGAGACTCGCCAGGAGGGCCAGCTGCAGCCCCTCGGACTTGGGCAGCTGCAAGGCGTTTTTTACATCCTAATGATTGGCAATGCCGCAGCTTTTCTGCTGTTTACGGAAGAATTATTCATGCATTCCCCGTGAATACCAACCTTTATTGGTAACACGCATATCATTGCAATGCAAAATAAAAACCTACTTTAATGGAATAAGTACACACGCATTAGTAGTATCAAATAGATACTAAATATAGAGTATAGTTGTACACCATCCCTCAAATAAATGGAAATAAATGGCCTTAACCCACATTCTCACTTCTCCTTCGTTTACCTTTAGAAACTGCAAATCCTACGTATCTATTGAGACTGAATAAAGCCCTTGCAAGCAAACCTTCATCATTAATGAAGCGTACACATACTGTATCAAGATAGTTGTATTAAGCAGCAGCAGCTGCGCCACCATATCTTCAAAATAATCCAGAGAGCCTACGTCTATATCGTGTTACCTGGTTATCTGCTCTTTAAATCATCAATCCAATTTCCCAAACCATATTTTACCCATGCCTTTATGAAAATAAACATATCCAATTTTTATCCCTTGTTACGTGTTCTATTTTGTGTTGATATACTTGGCACCTTATTAGGCCTTCCCGTTGGTGGTTCAGTAGGTAGAGTTACAGTTGGTATGTAATGTTGGTTATGTTGTAATGTTGCTTACAGTTGGTTATGTTGGTACAGTATGAGGTCCGTGGTTCGAGTGTCCCGGGAGGGAGGGACATACCAGGGGAAAGTGCCAAGCCAATACTACTATAGAGCACTTGGAAAGGGTCAGGACTGGGATTTGGGACGGGACAGGGGGGGAAATGAATGGTGCCCAACCACTTGGACGGTCAGGGATTGAACACCGACCTGCAAGAAATGCATATGCATATATGCATATGCTAAATATATGCATATGCATATATTTAGCAATATGTATATGCTAGAACGCACTTCCTAGTAGCCAGAACGCACTTCCTAGTAGCCAGAACGCACTTCTCGGCCTACCATGCAAGGCTCGATTTGCCTAATAAGCCAAATTTTCCTAAATTTAAATATTTTTCTAATTTATTTTCTTATGAATTGATAAAGGTATTCATTTCATTATGTATGAGTTTATTTTACTTAATTTGAGTTAAAACTAACGTAGATATATGACCAAACCTAACCAACCCTACCTAACCTAACCTATCTTTACTTATTCTAAACTAACATAACAAAATCAATAATTTATGTCATAATATAATAATAATATTTCATATAAACCAAATGGAAACAATATTTTGAAAAAAAAGAAAGAAAATCACTTGGCCTATTAGGCAAATCGAACTTTGCATAGTAGCCCGAGAAGTGCATTCTGGCTACTAGGTACATTATATATATATATATATAAATAATTGCCTAATAGCCAGAACCTCGGTAATTGACCTAGTATGTATGATTCGATTTGTCCAACAGGCCAAATGATTTTTGTTATTTTCAAATATTTCTTTCGAGATTGGTTCATTTCTAACAATAATCTATTACTGTATATTAGGAACATGAGTTACTAACTTAGTTATGTTAGGTTAGGTTAGGTTTGATAAAATTTCTAAGTTAGTTTTGACTCAATATAAAACTGCAATCATATATAATACAATGAAAACTTTATAATTTCATAAGAAAACATCTTGGAAAAAATATATATTTCACAAAAATTCGGCTTGTTAGGCAACTCTGGGTATTCGATATGACATATATACTGTATACAGTGTATGTATGTAATTATTATATACATTATATTGTCACGGTAAAATCTCTAGGAAGAGATTTGGCCTGCTCCATCCTCACTTATTCTATCATATCACGTCTATTTAATAAAGAACTGCAGCCAAAACAACAACAACAACAACTATTTTCCAGACGTCTAGACAATACCACCAGTCTACCTACCGCTTCACCACTGCCCGTCACCCCACCTCGCACCTGGGTCGCTGGGAGCTCACGCCATCCGAAACAAGCAGTTTAAGAGCCGGTTAATAGTTAAAGAAGGACCCAGCGCCATCTACACAGCCGTTGTTGTGTATATATTGGGCTGCCTAGCCCACTAAGATTCAGATTACTCCTGGGTGCTCTGCTGAGTAGACCTGTTGACATACCCCGGTGTGGTAACAGAGCTATTCAGTTTGACTCACAGTATTCCTTCACCATATTTTATTTGCACATTAACGTAACGTAAATTTGATTGCTCATCTTGTTTGTTTTGCACACTTTGTATTAGAGCCAAGCCTGGATATTTTGTTTTGTAATTTGTTTAATTTCATTTTTCTATCAAAGTAAAGTACAGTACTGTATTTTTAAATGGTTTTTCCCTCTGCTTTATCCTACAGTTTACCTTACTGTGAAGACAACTTGCAATTTAACTTTTTTTTCCTTTTTTTTTATTTATTTTTGTATTATTTTATTTGATTGGCATTCCATCTGCCTAGAGACTGCAATACCACCTACTTTTCTCGTCACATAATATATACATATATAAATAAAAATGTAAATGTTCGTTTGTTCAAAATAGCTAATCTCCGAAAGTTCTTCACCGATTGCTTTGAAATTTTGACACAACGTTGCATTCAAAGAGGCGTGTGTTTTTATATATCTACTATATACATGTCTCACCTGTGACAGGAAAAAACATGCATTTTTTTTTAAACAGTTCCAACTACTATTGGACGTAAGAGTAACACATGCTGTAATCTCCTTAAGTTCTTCAGATTGCTTTGAAATTTTGATACGTTTCATTTGAATACGCGTGTGTTTTAATATACCTACTATATAGATGCCACACATGTGACAGGTAAAAAACATGCTTTTTTTTTTAAACCACATTACTGCCTCACCTTCACCTCCCAGGCTAGCAACCACATTATTGCCTTACCTTCACCTCACAAGTTAGCAACCACATTATTGCCTCACCTTCACCTCCCAGGCTAGCAACCACATTACTGCCTCACCTTCACCTCCCAGGCTAGCAACCACATTATTGCCTCACCTTCACCTCACAAGTTAGCAACCACATTATTGCCTCACCTTCACCTCCCAGGCTAGCAACCACATTATTGCCTCACCTTCACCTCCCAGGCTAGCAACCACATTATTGCCTCACCTTCACCTCACAAGTTAGCAACCACATTATTGCCTCACCTTCACCTCCCAGGCTAGCAACCACATTACTGCCTCACCTTCCCTACACAACAGTTAATTAATAAACACAGTTGATGCACCAATATGATAAACAGTTATTGTATCAATATCATACATACGGATAATGTGTCGGCTGTAGGTTTAAAATGATTTAAAGGTCAGCGTTTAGGGCGCCATAAAAAGGAGTTCCGAACAGCTGATGTTTGTTTTGCTGGAGACTGGTCGAATCGTACATAACCATTTCGGATACCGTACATAAAAACCAGTTCGTTTAATTAAAATTTTTGTTTACACGAGCTTTTTCGTATATACAAATATGCTGGCTTGTGTTCGCTGCTGGTAATAGAAGTTGATAATAAGTTAAGAATATTAATATATAGATTAATATAATATATATATATTGGTACTTTTTCGTTTTACTTTTGAATAAAGCATAGGTTGGACAATTTTTTAATTCATTAGGGAGTGAGTTCCATAGACTGTGTCCTTTTATTTGCATGGATTGTTTGGACAGATTTAGTTAGACTCTGGGGATATCAGAGATATTTATTTCTGGTGTAGTGCTCATGGGTTCTATTACACCTATTAAGGAAACGTTTCAGATCAAGATTAGCATTTAGGAACAAGGGTTTGTACATGTAAAGAACACACGAGAATGTGTGGAGTGAGTGCATGTTTAGCATGTTATGGGAGTTAAACAGAGGGGCCATGGGTTTTATATTTTAATATAACAAAAAAAAAAGAATTATTATAATGTTTCAATTAATTCTAAGGCGCATCATATCTTAGTGGGACCAGAAATTTATTCCACTAAATAAATAAACATATTAGCATTATGATAGGCTGAAGGCGAGATCAGTTATGAACGTCATCTAGCATACAAGTACAAGAGCGCCCAAAATACAGTATTTTATTAACATAAAAGACATGTGGAGACAGGCGTGTGGCTTCTGGCTTTTTTTTTTATTAATAATAAATATTACATGTTAGGCGTTTACCCTTAATACATATTATTATATAGAAGTATAACTATCACATAGTAAATGTAACATGAGTCTACCCAAAAACTGGCCAAAGTGAAGTTTTGTGCGTTCGATTCTGTTTGTGGGCCTTCTGATGAGTAGGGTTTACACTGGGTGCGTTATTCTTATGAATCCCGAATTATGTCCATCACATCACTGAACTTCATTTAATAACTATATGCTTGTTAAGTAGAAGATTTTAACTGGTAATAACATTATATTGTAGTTTTAATATTGCCCCATCATGTATATACGAAACTTACAAATTTTGTGTCCGAAATGATAAAAATATTTGTGTGCCAAGTGTCTTGTGTACCAAGTGACTGATGTCCTTATATGCGGCCCGGGAGTGTGAATAACGAGTCCTGCGGTGCGGAATATAAACCTTGTGGTAAGAATTATGTCTAGAGGTGATTGAGATATTTGATCAAGTTAGCGCTGATGAGTGACAACGAGGAAGCGGCGGCGTGTGGCGAGGAGGAGGAGGAGGAGCTAGAGGAGCCGGAGAGACCCGTGGCCTGGACGTCTGGCTGGGACGAGGAGAGCAACGACGTGGAGTCCGACCCTGACCCCCACGGTGTGTGTAATTACCTAAGTGTAGTTACAGGATGAGAGCTACGCTCGTGGTGTCCCGTCTTCCCAGCACTCTTTGTCATATAACGCTTTGAAACTACTGTGACTCTCTTGGTTACCCTCACCTGAGGACAGCTCACACCCACCCCCCCCTCCGCTTCTCAGTTCTATTCCTCGAGAGACTTTTTTTTATATTTTAGTATATCTATGGCCTGTTGTCAGCATGTTTGGCCACAGTTGTTATTGTGCAGTTGTTGGCTCTCCCGGTCTCCTCCGATTGGCTAATTTAGGCTAGAATAGGCTGTATTTATAGATCAAATTCACTTTGCATGGTTGACAGTTGTCATACAGATTTTCATGCCCCACTTAACCTACTATGTAAATTATATACAGTATGTGTAGTATACAATCTGATGTCACACCAGCATTTTTACTGGTAATATTTCAGGGTAAAATTTAAGGTTTACTACATTATTAGTGGAACTTTGGACCTGAAATGTCCTCTGTGATTTGTAGCATAATGATTATCTTAGTTGGCTCACAACAATTGGTTCTGTGTTCAATACCCAGGATCAGTGATATGTATAGGTATGTTTCCCCATACTGGATATCTATTCACATATTCGAGCCTGGCCTCGGGCCGGGCTTGGGGAGTAGAAGAACTCCCAGAACCCCATCAACCAGGTAGCAGTAGGTAGCTGAGAGTTAGTCAAATATTGTGGTTTGCATCCTAGGGAATGGTTTGCCATTGGTTAGGAGTACTTCATTTAGCAAAGCTTGTGATACTGAGCCTCACAAAAGACTGGTTAGAAAGCTCATGGTATTGGGGGAGGGAGGGAATTATTAGGGGATAGGTGCCAAGCCATTACGCCTAGCACTTGGAAGGGTTCAGGATGGGACGGGGTAAAGGAATGGAGAGGAGGAATTTGGGGGAGCTATCCAAGTTAGACAAGGGCATGGTTATTTGAAAGGAAATAGAGATGGTATAAATGGAATTAAATTGTAATGGGAAACTAAAAAGAGTGCCCTGGGGTTCTGTCCTGGGATCTCAGGTGTTTACCATATATGTAAATAGTTTAGTTATGGGATTGAGCAACAAGATTTGCAAATTTATGGATGATATAAAAATAGTGGCTCCCTACCTTGTGGAGGTTCCAGGGATCAACGGCCCTGCAGCCTGGTCTCCGACCAGGCCTCCCATTACAGGAAATAAATTCAGGTGACTCAAAATTGCTTCAAGAAAATTTAGGTAGACTTTTGAAATGGACAAAAGACTGCAAATCCAATATAATGCTGAAAAATATAGGGTTTTGAGGCTAGGTAATAATTAATTCACTGTGTCAGGGGACAGGAAGTTAGAGTGTATTCAACATAGGCTATTATCAAGGTCCCCCGCAGGGTCGAATTACTAACCCCGCCCAGGATGCAACCCCACAACACACTGACTACCTCCTGAGTACCTACTTGCTGCTAGGTGAAGAGAGGCATTAGATGAAAGGAAACATGCCCAACCATTTCTGTCCCATCTGGGATTTGAACTCGGAATTCACGATTGTGCTTAGAGAAAGAACCCGACTGTACTACCAGGACCTTAATGATAATACAGTAGTTACCAGATATAAGTTGGATATTGTTGAAATGGCAAAACAGAATGCAAAAAAAAAAAAAAATGATTAGTAGGGATTAAAAGCAAAACAAAGAAAAACCAATGCATAAATGTTTGTAATAAGACAAATAGGATACTGGAATTTATTTCTTGAAGCATTAGCAATGAAATGACTGATGTTGTTATTCTTCTTATCTTGCTTTTGTTAGGGCCCCATTTAGATTATACAGCTCAATTTGATCACCATACTATAGAATAGTCATAAATTCAGTTGAAGTTTATAATAATATAGTGAATTTAAAACAGCTAAATTTACATTCACTAGAAAGGCAAAGAGTAATGGGTGACATGACTGAAGTACAATATAGAAATGAATAAAAGACTATATCAAAGGATATGATATATAAAAGGCTATATCAGATATGATATATATAAAAGGCTATACATATCAGAGGATATGATATATAAAAGGTTATATCAGAGGAGATATTAATAAGGTGTCAAGTATATCAACACAAAATAGTAGATATATACAGTACTGTACAGTATATTGAATGAGTTTAGATTTAGGAAAGACCTGGGTAATTACCAGTTTGGAAATAGAATGGTTGATCTCTGGAATAGATTACTGTGCAACATAAATAGATGTGGAATCGTTTGATTGTTTCAGGCATAAGTTAGATGTGTACAGTACAGTGGTACCTCGGTTTAAGAGTTTAATCCGTTCCTGGAGACAGTTTGTATTCCGAAAACTCGTATTCTGAAGCTAATTTCCCATAAGAATTAATGGGAAATGAATTAATCCGTTCCTGACTACCCCAAAAACCTCACTTCAAACTAAATTTTATACCTAATTCATCTAAATAAACCTACAAAACTATGTTCAAGTTATTACTTGCCCTTGTTGTTGAATGCTGTAGGCGTATGGAAGATGGTGAGGAGGGGGGAGGAGGAGAGGTGTTACTGTTTGGAAGGGGAATCCCCTTCCATTATAACATCAGGCAGTGAAGACCTTTCTGGTGTGCACTCCCTGGCACGTTTTGCCTGCATACCACTAGGTCCTGGTTGTGGCTCACTGCTTAATTTTCTCAACAAATCTGTCCATCGAAGCTTGTTTTTCCCTTCTTCGCAAGCTGTCTGTAGTAAGGCATCACATTATCATTGAAAAGATTTAAGGCAACGGCCTACTACAGCTTTCTCTGGGTGAGTCTTTTCAATAAAAGTTTGCATCTCTTCCCACAGTTCAACAATCTGTGTACCATTTTCATGCTTCTGAATGATCTCTTGTTTCTCCTCTATTGTCATCCTCACATGGGCTTTCTTGCCTTGATCCTTACCACTGGCTTTCTTGGGACCCAAGGTGAGATATATAATAACAACTTTTATGGTCAAATGGCCAAAAATCCAACAAAACACTGAAAACCCGGGTGAAGAATTGACGTGGGATAGTCACTGGGCGTGAGGCACTGGTAAACTGAGGGGTGAGGGGCAACGATCGCCGTACCACCACGCGCTAGTTCGGCCTGTACGCGTATCAACAAACTCGTGTTCCGAGGTAACCCTCACCTTCCGAGGCACATTTTCCGAGCAAATCCTGCTCGTATTCCGAAAAACTCGTATTTAGGGACACTTGTATTCCGAGGTACCACTGGACTGGTATATGAATGAGTTTCGCTAGATATAAATAGGAGCTGCCCTGTATAGCCAATAAATCTTCAGTTTCCTTAATTTATATGCCTAACAGACATAACCATACACATGAAAGCTATAAGACCAGCCTGTAATAACCATAGGTTCTCATATCCTAGATCCTATTCTATCCTTATACTCCTTCCAAGTACTGTACTCTTAAAGTACCTATGTTGGTTCAGTACTTTCTCATAATAATTACCTTACCTTAATTAAAGTATATTTAGCTTGTTTCGTTTGTTAAAATTAAAAGGTAGGAAAATTACTTTATAAATTTTTGAGCTGAAGCTTTGCACCAAATTATTCGTCATCTTTTATTTCAGTTGTACAGTACAACACTGATAATAAATTAACTTAAAGACTTCATTAAGTTGGCATTCACCAATTATTTCTGTACATTGTAGAATTATTTTACAGTTGGTATTATTTGTTGAATTACTGTCACTTAAATGACTTATTCAGATCATTTCATAGGATTCCAGTGCAATGAAGGATTTGTATACATTTTACAGTACTGTATTATAAATATTTTTCTTTTGTTTTAAGACAGGTAATTTAGAATTTTCATGAATTTTTTTAGGATTTGTCCAGTTTGGAGGATTTGGTTTTAACCAGTTTCATACTGGGTAAAAAAAAGGTGTTTATAAAATCTTGAATGCACATCTCTATTTTTACTAGTGACAATTCACCACAAAATCTTGATCCACTCCTCTTGAAGGCATGATGAGCAATGTGATGGCATATAAAGCCAAAAGCAACACATCTTATAGAAGCCACCTTTCACTGCACTCTTGCTGAATAAAAAGTAAAAAGTAAGAAAGCTATCCACTTTTGTGACTGTATAGTCCTTGCTTTCCATTCTAAGAATAAGTTGTTGACTGAAAGAGATTGTTTTTTTTAATACCTGTTCTGTACACACCTGTTAATTATTTTCGGAAAAATTTTGGCATGTATTTTTAGGAATTAAGGATGCTATATTAAGATTGTGTGCATGTTGCTGTGTGTAGTTTACCACAATCTAACTACAGTACAGTACTTTGGTTTAAATGCTTCTGTTAGTAAACAAATAATACTTCTGGTCAATGATCAACAATATTAAGTGTCCTCTATGGAAATTTAAGTGATTATGGGGTATTCAGGTGACTGAACTCAGTAAAATTCTATACTGTAGACGTAATGCTGTACCTCATTAATAAATAATGGTTTTATTTGGGGTACGGTATTTGTAGCTGCATATTTTTGTCACAGCATGATTGTGGTTCTTTTCTTTAATCTGGGCCTAATGCTAAAACCTTGGGTTAAAAAATTTAGCTTTGATTATTATAGCAGGACTTCAATTTGCACGTGGGATGTGTTTTTAGACAAATTTATGCATAGTAAATTCAAGCAGATAAAAAATAAGCTTACTGTATACAGGAAAAATATAGTGATGTGTTCCAAAGACTTGAAACAGTTTATTTTTACCGCTTAGATCTCCACAAAATAAATACAGCGTTAAATTATCATCCACACTTCTGTGGAAATAAACATTCCATTCACCTGGGCTGTATGGGTAACGAACCGTGGACCCCACGGGTGTACGGCCGATACTCTATTGACTGGGCTATGAGCAGTCTTAAAGGAAAGTTTCCAGAAGCAGCATTCTACTGCTATATTGTACTTTACAATATAGTCGAGTAGAACTATACCCGTATTAAAAAAATACAGCATAGTTACTATTGTTGTGTTATTCATGAGTATGTAAAGTACAATGGTATTTGGTACTGTAATAGGATCAGTTATAGGTAGTTGATTGCTGGGGTCTGACTCCAGATGCAACCTGTCACTGGCAAGTGTACCATCAAAGGTGATGGTCTTACTGAGGGAGAGGTGACCACATGTGTGGTGGATTGCTATAATGATAATAATAATAATAATAATAATGGTAATAATAATAATAATAATTATAATTATAATTATAAAATGTATGTTCAGAGAACATAAGCTGAAGGAACAATTGTAGGTACGGGGGGGGTTAAAAATACAAATGAAGCCACTACTATGCAAAGCATTTCAGACAACACTTAGAATAATTTAGATGTAATATTATTTATAGATATAATGGGATAAACAGATAATACTAAAAGAGAAGTAAGCTAACATTAGTGAGAATGTTCAAGAAATACTGGTACAGTATAACAAATGATATACAATATATAGGTGATACTTAACGATCACAGGCATACTTATTACATTATGGAATCTATAGTTCTAGCAACAACACAAAAGTAGTTTTTTAACATTAACATTAATAACAAAGAAAATACAAAGGTATAATTTAGTAAAGCTAATACATCATTTTATAATGTAGAGCCAAAACAGAGTCAAAACATTTTACAAGCTCCAAATTTGGTTACTTTTCAATTGTTTCAGTCATTGTGTCAGCTGTTGTGGACATTTTACTGTACTCAGACTCCACAGCCAACTGATAAATTTCTGAGTCCTCATTTTACTTGCGCATTCCATGGACAATCCCAAGGGATGTGGCACTATCTCTTTTCTCATGACCCTGTTTTGTCATTTCTAAATCTTAACAATACATTTAGATTCTCCAAGGGGTGTTTTGGCATATGGTTACATTAGCAGAAAACACCTAGGCCAGTCACACAGCGAAACAACTTGTATACATTTAAATCAGCTCTTGCACCTGTTAAAATTTACTATTTAAGACAAATCTTATAGCTGCAAATCACAGCCCCGCTCCTGTGCCAGGTAAGTCCATTACAGGCTCACCATAGCCCGTGCTACTTGGAACTTTTTGTTCCCAGTACCTGAATCTATAACAACAACAGCTACAAATTTGCATTCTCAAACTTAGATGCATATCAAGGGCCTGCTGCAATGTAATGGTTAGTTTAACATATTCCCCTTCAAGGCAGGTGAAATATCCTGGCTACAAAATACAGACTTATTTTCTGGGAGAGTCCCCCTCAGTAGCTTCCTGAGGTAAGTGCAGGTTCAGCCAAACTTTAGGGGATGCACCAGGCTTCTGAGACTCGCTCTTGCATACCACGAGCCAAGGTCAGAATATGCCGCTCTCTCTGAGGTGAGGGGAAAGTGGGGATCAGAGATCTACCCAAAATGGAAAAACCATAACATAAAGTATAGGTTACAACAAAATGAGCCACCACTTGAAGAAAATTAAGTACCCTTGGGTAAGAAGACAAACAGTTGTTGTTGCCTGATCATAACCAGGTGGCAAATTAATTTGACAAATAAATGTATGTTATTAACTCTTGGACAGTGGCTATGGAGATAAGGTCATACCTGCCTATGCACAAAAAATGAAAAAATTCCTCCAAAATTTTTTCATTAAGCAAAATGTAAGAATAACAGGAAAATAAGTGAATGTATAGCATTTCACTGAGTGGAGGCGCTTTGTAAGGCTGCATCTGGCACTTGTCTACACCCAATGCTTGACTTTGCTGATGCTTCCTGTTTTATCTACAAATGAATCAGTGATTGTTTTATCACAGGTTATTCTTTGTTTACATCCACAAAGAGCTATTGTATCCATATTTGCCTTGTACATGTAAAACCCAGACAATAACTGTTTAAATTGTCATGTGACGACTGCATTCACCTAATAACATTCATAATGATAACAGCATTCTTAACTATGAAATGGTAGCAGGATTTTTTTCATGGGTCAAGGTAAAAATCCATTACATTCACATAGACTTATTATATCCATATTTGCATCATACATGTAAAATCCAGACGATAATGGTTTAATTCATCATATGACAATAACCACATTAGTACTCTAAGGATAGTCAACAGATGATAATCACCGTTTAAGTGTTAAAACAGGCTTGACCTTTAACACTTAAAAGACTTCTATAGCTCTCAAGCGATAGAGGCCAGTTTGTCTACTGCCTGTTAGAGATTTGATGTGCCCCGTATTGTTCAAAAGTCCTAAAGATTCTATGTAGACCCCTGGTAATTGTTTGGCGTTTTAGAAAAAATCCTGAAAGCCTTGGTTTCCTTTTTAGGAGTTAATAAACAAAAATTGGCACCATGTCGAAGAGCAACACTATTCATTTACTGATGCCGATGCTAGGAATCATTGATGCCATGCAAAGTTTCAAAGACTTTTTTGGACTTGGAAGATATTAGTGATGAGCAATTTATTGCAAATACTTAACTTGAAAATAATTTTCAGAAGGTGATGTTTTCAAAATTTCTTTAGCTCACTATGGCATACTAAAATGGTAAGAATTTTTTCCTCATAATCATAATAAAATACTTTACAATACAATTTTACAATAGGAAAAAAAGATTGTTTATTTTTTTAATGCACCAGGCGAAAAAATTAACGAGAGCAGTAAAAATAATAATAATACTTCTGTAATATGAACTATGAAAATAACATATTTAAAGATTTGACATGACCATTTCTAAATCAGTATTTTCGACTACACGCAGTCCATGTCTAAAGTCTGTCAAATATGATTTTCAGAACATTGTCAAATATCATCTCAAATCCTTATACTGACCCCCTTCCAAGTGCTATATAATCATGATGCCTTGGTGCTTTCTCTTGATAGTTCCCTTCCCTTTATGGTTTATACAAGGTGAAATTAAAGCTTTGTAAAAAATATAAAGATGAATAGCAATTTTTTTTTTATTTTTTATAAATTTACGTTGTAATCTGAAATGTTGAAGAGAGAATTCTTATAATTTGTACTTGTGAAAATAATGTCTGGTTTCTAATTTGTACTGTAAAATAAAATAACAGTTGATTGGAGAAAGAGAGATGGCAAGAAGTGTAGAATATATGTATACAGTACAATGAAAAATAGTGGTGCTAGAAATGCAATTAGAACGTAATTTTAATATCAGAGTCTATGACTTCAATCTTCTACCACAAACATGAAAGTATTTCCAGAACGAAGCTAGAAATCTTCAAGAAGAGTTTGATAAGTTCATGCTAGGTCCGCTGGGTTGTGATGGTTATGTAAGCAAGCAGGTTATTAACATCAAAGCCTGGAAGTTTGACTGCAGTCTGGGTTTCGAGAATAAGAACGCTCCCAAAATTAGTCGCAGGTAATTATTTCTTACTACTGTAATGTAGGACCTGATTTATAGGATCATCACTTGATGTTTACTGTAGGTTAATATACATTCAGTTTTATAATGGGTAGTATTTTGTAGCAACACCCGAGCGTGAAATCCTGTGGGCCTGTGAGAACGGCAAGCAGAGTGTTGTTGAGAAGATCTTGCAGCAGCATCCTGAAGCTGTAGGTGCAACTGACAGCGATGGGTACACTCCGTTGCATCGGGCTGCATACAGTGATTTCCCAGAGATTGTTAAGGTAAAATGGTGAGATGCATGGAAGGAATGATTACATTATATTTGCTGCAGTATGTAGACCTTGGTAGAAAGTATTGATAACAAACCATGTAAACTGGAGCTTTTGTAGGGTACTGTCTCCTGTTAATGAACATAGGTTTTCATATTGATTTTAAGCTTTCATTTTATTGGTGTAATATTTTTATTGTGTGATTTACTATTTTATTACACAAGACACTTTTTTATTATACCTGTACTGTATTTTTATTATGCCTCTGAATGTTTCCTGGAATTTTTGTTTAAATTAGATTTATATATGGTATTCTTAATGTAAAACTACCCTGTATGTATTTGTATTATTGTTTGTTTGTGTTTATTGTGGAGAGCATTGCACTATACAGTACACACTGTTATAAATTTACAGTAAGTTCAAATAATTTAAAAAAGGTCCCAGCAACTGAAAGGGATGTTTAAATAATAAAGAAAGGAATGTAGGATCATAAAAATAAAGATGGAAATACATGTCTAAAATGTAAAAATAAAAGTGGGCTTGCTATATGGTGAATAATTCTCCAGGAAAGCTAGCCTCGGGCCAGGCTGTGAGAACCCAAAACCAGCTACTAGTAAACTGTAGACAATGTTGTTGCTCTGTATTGTTAAGTGAAACAAGGACATAGAGGATGCATATTTTTGTGTATCTAATCAAGGCAAAATATTTACAGCTTCTTCTGAGTGCCGGTGCTTCAGTGTCTGCAAAAACAGTGGATGGCTGGACAGCTCTTCACTCAGCCTGCCGTTGGAATCACCACGATTGTGCCGTGATTTTAATTGACGGTGGGAGTGATGTTAATGCTGTTACCAACAGTGGCCAGACACCTCTTCATGTTGCTGCTGTTAACCCTCAGGCACACGAAACTTTGCAGCTGTTATTGATGAATCGCATTATTAAGCCACTCATGACTAATAGCAATGGCGAGACTGCAAAAGATCTGGCAATGAGGAGTGGACCGTATGGACATTTATTCGAGGTTACTGATCCTGTCTTGAATGTTTGTGAAGATCAAGAATGAAAAAGAAAATTTCAAGCATTAATTACTGATCTGTGACATTATCTGGAGAAATATTTATAAAATGTTCAGCTGTTAAGTGCTTATTAATTTAATTATATTTTTCTACAATGATTTTTGCCTGTGATGACAGTAAGTTAAGGTCTGGTGTGTATTGAAAATAATTGATCATAATAGCAACACTGGTCCAAAAATATTTTGAGATACATTGCCTTGAAAGTTCCATTTTAATATTAAAAAATGGCTGCCCATGTTGTCAGACATGGATTACGGATGCGTAAGACATTTAGTGTAGAGAAACTTGATATTGCACATTGGTTCCCAGGTCACATGGCAAGAGGCATGAACAAGATGCAGCAGAAATTGAAAAGTGTGGATTGCATTATAGAGGTACATGATGCAAGAATTCCAATAACAGGAAGAAATTCTTTGTTTGAACAAAGATTAGGTTTATCAACTCTCAAACCCCATATTTTTGTTTTAAATAAAATGGATCTTGCTGATCTGAGAGACAGAAACAGCATCATAAGCTATTATGAAAGTCAAGGAGTGAAAGATATTATATTTACTAACTGCAAGAATCCAGACAGCAGTGGCATAAAAAGCATAATTCCAAGAGTTTCCAAATTGGTGCAGAAATCAGAGCGTTACAACCGCTCTGAAGAGTCGGAATATCAGATGATGGTCATTGGCATACCTAATGTTGGAAAGTCGTCACTTATCAATGCTTTGAGAGCTAAACACACACGGAGAAGTAAAGCTACTCAGGTTGGAGGAGTTCCTGGCATAACGCAGAGTGTACTGGAGAGAATAAAGGTAAGTCCCAGGCATTACAAGTATTATAATTGTATACAGTGTATGTATCTGATGGGAATAAGGATCATTAAAATTCATATTCTCAAATACTTGCAGAGCTGAGTGTGTTCTAGTATTGTATCCTTCCCCTTATTCATTCATTAGAATTTGACAGTTTAATCTGTAAGGTGTGACTATCATCAAAATTGTTACCCTGACTGCACAATCATATACTGTACAGTATATACCTTTATTTTGGCCTAGGCAGTGGTTAATGTTTGCTCTGACTTTATTGTTTGATCCTGGCTTCCATCACAATATAAAACCAAGTTATTTTTTATTTATTCATATGAAATATTGTACTGTACCCTGTATGTTCAAATGTAAGGCATACAAAAGTAAAAAGAATGTACAGTAGTACCAAAATAAATACAGTACATGTATATACAACGTGTTGCCTTCTGTTAATAATTACTTACTTGTATATTGAAGATATTTATGTTGACCAGTTAAGTATAGTCATCATGTGTTGATGGGAACCAGGAGCTGAAGTCCATATGACACAAAATTATTTTATTATGTCGGCAACATTTATATTCAAACATATAGATCTTTAGTTGACGATGATCACGTCGCACTAGATTATCAACACATGATAATCACACTTCGAAGGTTAAAAGTTTCAGAAGCTATGTAAGAAAAAATTGAGAATTGCTTCATGAAACATATGCAAGTAGCCCAGTGGTTAGTGCAGTTGGCTCACAACTGATTGGTCTTGGGTTTGATTCTTGTGAAGGTGAGACATTTGGGTATGTTTCCTTAAACTGCTGCCTCTGTTCACCTGTCAATAAATAGGAACTGTATCTTGAAATTAGCAGTGTGTTGAGAGTTGCATTCTTGGAAATGGCCAGTTGTTGGACAGGACCTTGATAAGTCTTACCGGCTTCCTGTCCCAACACTTTGTCCCAACAACAAAGTAAAAAACAAATAAGCAACATAAACTCGCCCTTCAGGGCAAAATAAAAAAAAATAAATAAAAATTAGGGATAATACAAGAAATATTTTTGAAACTGCTAAGCTCAAAACATCTTAACAAAAGTAAAACTTTTGTTTTAAATGGTACTGCAGCTTATGTAGTAAAAACAAATAAAATCGATGAACTTACAGTTTGAGAAAGTATACAGTAACATCCCTCAAGATAAGGCCGAGTAAAAAAAGTCTGCTAGGTAAATGTAAGGAAGTTAGCAAACAGGGTTGCAGACTTGACAGAGGAAGAAAAGAGAAAATCAGTAAGACATAATACATGTACAAAAAATAGCTGAAATACAGTACTGTGCAGTAGTAAGTTACGTATTTTGCCCACTAAAGTGAGCATAAATTCTTAGATTAGTAATAAACGCTTGGGAAAGATAAGTATGGTAAGTATTAGCCACGATGCTGCGCGGCCTTAAAATATGACATTCCCACTGTGCCAAAAATAAATTCTTTGCAAAAAATTATTTTCTTTCATACTGGTATTGTTAAAATGCAGTCTCTGATCACTGGAAAATAAAATATATTGTATGTAACATACTTTAGCCGTGATGGAGCCGAGAAGTTGAGCAAATTATGGGCGCCGAGCGATGGAGCACTTGAGATCACTCGACCCTGCCACACCATGGGGCAGCAGTTGCCTCGAATATAATTTTCACAATTATTTTGATGTGTCTTATTAATTTCTTCTATGTTTTTTGCTGTATTATTCAAAAGTGTGTAATTTGTGGAATTTACACAGATCAATGTGGAACATTGCTATTCTCAAAATTATGAGCTCATACATGTGACGTGTATACAGTACTATATTCTACGATCAGTGTTTTTGCTGTTATTACACTACAGTATATTATATATATATACACACACACGTTGTATATACCTTATCTACGTGTTCACCATAAACCACCAAGTTGGTATGACGAGTTAAAACAACACGAGTGGCCGCGACACAGCAGCTAGCAGACGCCACCTCCCTCCCTCGAACACCTCACTAGCCAACATTCCTCCTCCCACCATACTGTTATCTTTATTACACTATTTACACATGTTATATATAAGTATCTACACATTTTGTTCACCATAACTGTACAACTAAGCTGGTATGGTATCCAAACAACATAGTGGCCACAAAAAAAACTTCATGACAAGTGACACAGAAGCTAGCACACACAGAAGCTAGCAGACAACAGACTCCCTCACCAAAATGGCTCCTCCCATCATACTCCTTATGCTGGTATTACACTATATACAAATTATATATAATTATCTACATTTGTGTTCACCATAGTGAACCACTAAGCTGGTATGGCGAGTCCAAACAAGACAGGCTGCCACACACCAGCCATCTAACGCTATATCCTTCCCTCCTCGCCAAAATTCCTCCTCACACCATACTATGCACATCACTAATTATCACCACAATCCTGCTATTATCAGAATCCTGGTCACTAAATCATGTAAATGAAAATTTTTCTATAAGTTTATTTTGTAAAGGAACATGAGAAATCATTTCAAGATTCTTGGATGGACCAAACAATGTCAGTGTGCTGTGGCTAGTGCTGTGAACATCTTTAACAGCACTGTGTTCACTAATATCTGAACATTGTACACAGTCATTATCACTGTCAGGCTCTTCTGTAATACTATTATGGCTAAATAATACCAGTTACATATATATTTTGACATTTTTAGGCAATGCTGTGGTCACAAGCTTAATAACAGAGCTGTTACTTCATGTTCCATGCATCAGCCTTGGTCTCTCACTCAGTACCACTCAGGAATGTTGCCCACAACTTTTTTTTTTTAATTTAAATGGCATCTGTTTACTAGAGCCCTGAGGAAGCTGATGTGAACCCCATGTAGCCGCACGGGTTATGAATCCTAAGCTATACCTACGAGCACCCTGTGGTGCTCTGCGCACCCCCGATCTAGCTGGACTCCATATTAATGTTTATATAATTTATCCATTTTCAGTTCTTTATTATTTTTGTTTACTAACATATATTTTCTTGCTTCCTCCCATCTATGGCACCCTGTTTTAGCCCTTCAAAGACAGCAGAAATGTTAAAAGTAGGTGACTGCATTTATGGCGTCCCATCTGTATTTGTTATCTCAGAAGCAAAAAGACCAGAAAACCACCATTGAATATAATGAAATGCCTTTTTCTGGATGACCCCCAGTGGCTTCCCTTCCAGGTTCTCCAGAACTCGCTTGGAAGGCTGGGAGAAACCTGTAGCTCCAGGCTCCTCCCCAACTTACTGGCAAGGAGGGGTTGGGGCTAATGATCACTCACTAGATTCAAGAGATTTGAGCATTTGTTTACATTGTTTGGCGAGTTCATTTGGCAGTTTTGAGGCTTCCATTCTTTAGAATGTAGTAGTGGCCTGTATTAATTTACCAACTTTCTGGATGCTTTCCTGATGGAGTGACAGTGTCACCTGCTTTCTGCACTTCTGTGATGGGGCCAGATTCTGGCTCTAGTCCCCATTAGGCCAAACAGAACTCTGCTGCTGATGTGACCTTATAGTTGCAAACCTCCTCAGTGAGATAGCTTCAGGGAGCCACTGAGGCTCATACAGAAAGAGGCATTTTATTACATTCCATGCTGTTTTTTTTATTATGAATATTGTAGTTTAATTTCTAATTTTGCTGAATATCTTCACAGGCTAAATTCTTGTGGGAACTTCTCCTATGTTCAGTACCTTGGGTTGGATGAACCAGTGGACAACATTCAGCAGCTTCTATTAACAGCAGCAGCTAAGTATGAAGTTTTATTATATTTTATATACAATATTTGTGTGTGTGTGTATGTATGAATACGTTTATTATATTTTATATACAATATTTGTGTGTGTGTGTGTGTATGTATGAATACGTATGTATGCTCTCTGAATTTCTGAATTATTTTTGTGGTTTTCAATGGATTACTAATCATCTGCCTAATATTTGCCATGGCTGAGGCATGAATAATGTGATGGATTAATGCCAAAATGTCATTTGGGATAAATATTTAAATGGTGCATAAGGCTACTTTCAGCAGGGAACAAGCAGTGTGTGATAGAGCGGTGTTAAACTGGGTGAAGTGGGTATTCTAGAGCCCTTGGATTAACTTTGAAAAATATGAAACACTTTAAATTTAATAAGAGCTGTTGTCAAAGGCTTCAAGAATTGACCAAAATAGGAAGAATGTAATTTATTGAACAAAATATATGCTCAGTAAGGAAGCTGAAACAGAATATTTAATGCAAAGTCATATACTGACTGTACCATTCTTCCTACATAACCTAACCAAGTTCTTGAACTGAACTTCAGATTATTTTCTAGGGAAGTCCCTCTGTGGCTTCCTGAAGCTATCTCACTGAGATTGCTCCATCTAAAGGGTTACATTATTCTCAGGAGCTCTTGTTTGGCCTACTGGGGACCAGAGCCAGAACCTGGTCCCCCCCCCCCCTCACCAGAAGTACAGTGTGAGTGACAATTCATCACCCTGCCAGGAAAGCATCTAGAAAGTCAATGAAGCTTTACAGACACCTGGAGGTTTTACAGAAAATGAAGCCATAAGTGACCGACAACTCTGCAAATAATTAAATGAAACAATAGATTGAATCAAAACTACAGTAGTTTGAATTTGTTAGGACTGCTAGCCACAAACAGGTGGACTGATCCCAGCTGGCATTCCTGATCAGTTAGTTCTATCACTGATGTGGTGGTCCATCAGTTGTGAGAAAGTCCTTTTGCTTTAGGCTAAGTGCCAACCGTACTTGGACTTTATTCATCCTGTGGGTGGCTATTTGCTTGTGTATTGTCCAAGGATTTTAGCATTACTGTAGCTTCATGTGCATATTTTCTTTCTGGCTTATTTTGGGGGTGTGGCTTCTTTTGTGCTTTGGGATACATGTACTCGGGGTTTTCTTCCCTGGATGCCCACTAGCACTTCCCTTGCACTGACAGTTTTCTGGTGTGTTCAGGAGTTTGCTTCCGAGAAGCCAGGTCACGTGGGTAGGAAGCCTCGCCTTGGAATGTTCGTGAATACTTGATGTATCTGCTTGGGATCTTGGGTGGGGGCATTCTGGTAGTTGTGTGGCCATTTGCACTAGAGTGTTTGAACTAGTTTCAAGTGAACCAATTAGTTATGAATGAATTGTTTGCATAGTCATTTGGCTGTTTCAGTGGTTTGTTTTCTGTGAACTTTTCAGTTCTGTGTATTGCTTCATTTATATTCTGGATGCTGTCTCTGAATGGGTGATTGGTACAATCCCCAACCCTGGTTCTGTGAGGAGGCTAGGTTCTGGCTCTGGTCTCCAGTAGGCCAGACAGGAATCCTGTGGTTGATGTGACTTAGCACCTCAGATTTAAATTCCAGCTACTTACCATTCAGAAAGGTCGTAGCAAAAACCCGCTTACATCCAGATTTTCAGGAAATGCTGGTCCCGAGCTGACATACCATACTGTATTAGGAATCGGACTTATTTTCCATATAGAAAGTTTTGCCTTAGAATAAAGTTGCTACCCCCTGCCTTTTTTCTTGTTATAACACTCAAGAAATATGTACTGTAATGCAATGTTTAACACTTTTTTTCCAGAAACAACTGGGTGAGGAAGACTCGTGACCACACTGGTGTTCGTACAGTTCCAGATATTATCCTTTCTGCTTCAAAATTTATCAGAGGCTTTAGATTGGGAGAGTTTGGAAAAGTAATGCTTGATGACTTGTCAGACTTAAAAATATAAGGAATAAATAGATAACTTGCTACAAAGCTTCTTTGCAATTATATTTTAGGTAATGAAATATAAAACGTATACACTTTAATATGAAAATTTACAGTTCCTTCTTGAGAAAACATAATGCTAAGCTGTAATGGATAGGTGTGGTCTCTTTCAGATAAAAGCTTAGAGTAAAGCTGATCAAGACATTACAATTTTCTTGTATGGGGTTGAGCATGCTACACACTTGGATTGTCACTAAAATTTCCATTTAGCAGTTTCACAAAGGATGGAGAGTACGAATATTTTGTCACAAAGACAATTGAATAACTTGATGAACATCAACTCGTGCACATTGTATAAAATACTTGCTATAAATCAAAATTAAATAATTCCATTACTATACTGTATACATTTTTATGAATGCATACATTTGTACCAATTAATCATTGGGTTTTCATTTCTTTTTATTTATTGGTATAGTTTTATAGACTTGGCAATACAGTAATTTCGTTTTGCTGTCATTGTAGTGAAAGTCTTTTAAAATTCTTTCGTGTAGCATTTTGGTTCAATACTGCCTGACCCTCCTTTACAATTTCTTGTACCTTGTACCTCATTATGATAGTTATTAACCACTGCACTGCGCAAAGCGCCTTTAGGCGCTCAGAGAGTTGTGCTCTTTGTTTTTTAATTTGGCTATATTTTAATGTTTTTTAATGTTTTCATTACTATTTGTGTTTTGAAATGGAAATAGTTGACTTTGGAAACATTTTGACATTAAATTTACCTGAACATTTGTAAAAATAACAAAAATATGTCCTTGTCAATTGCACCAAGACGTTTTTGCCGAAAATAGGTGAGCAGTGCAAGGGTTAAGGAATCCTAGATCCTTGTGTGTGAATATTCTGAACGAGCTTAAGCACTTTCCCATATCAGTACAGTACTTGGACTTTACCACTTCAACCCATAGACTAATAAAATTCCCTGCCCTTGTAAAATCTCAGGTTACTTTACATTATCCACCTCAGAGTAGAGGAATTTTAACCTATCTGTACTCTGACACATCTCTGTTTACTATCATAACAAATGTGTACATTTCTTACAGAACACAGTTACAAATTTCAGTCTGTTTTTAAGTTTTCAGCTATGATTAATTTATTAAATTTTGATTCATAAAATCAGTTGAATAAATTTAAAATACCTTAATTTAAAATTACTGTGCTTAATTATGAATAACAGATGAGCTTAATTCATCACAGCAGCATTAATTAATTATTTGTTTTAATTATTAATTATTTATTAATTATTTAATGCAGCATGCATAATTCTTGAGTTGGCTAACTGTGGAGTCTAACTTATAGTGCCATCAATGGTATGGATAATATATCAGATAATGTATCAGATAAGCAGCTAAAAACGGTTCCCTCTCTGTAATGTGCGTGGATATTTTGTGTGCCATACAGTGACCCCATTTTCCATGAATCCCACCAGTGGTGCCACTAACCTGTGTTCACCCTTGCTATGTTGCATTGGGTGACCCAGTATTTTTGTGCATAGTACATGTATTTAAGCCTCTCTTACTCGTGAATTAAATTGGAAATGTTTCACATTCTCTAAATTGTCAGCTACCAATAGTTTTAAATGTGTTGCCAAAGCCTCTGAAAATCAGCTAACGTAAGAGAATGTGTTTAGTGTCTATTAAAGAAAAGTAAATTACAAATCTGCAAGCTCATAATTGTAAATATGGCAGCCTGCTGCTCTGGTCATTAAATAATTAGCTTCAACATATTTGTGGAATATTTCCTCTGCTTCAACCCATCTAAGCTGTTTTATTATAAGCAAATGAGTACAGATATTAAAATTTAAATAATATATAATATTGGATACAGTTTTGTAGCTAGCCTTTTGAAGTTGTGGATAGCTGTGTTGTAGTGTGGTAATGCATGGTTGGCTGTGATTCTACCCGGTACACAGTCTACTCTCACTCAATTGGACTATTGGCAACTAACCCATTTTAGTTCCATCTGGCATTGCATACAGCATATACAGTATTTATTAATATGTTAACACAATAACAAATAGGCAATATTATGTAAAGCAATACATATTTATAAAAGAATCGTTATGTACAGTATACTTATCTGTTGTTGTTTCTAGGGATTAATGTCCCTACAGCCTGGTCTCAGACCAGATCTCCTTGTTGGTGGTCTGGTCAACCGGGCTGGTGGAAGCAGCTGCTCACAGCCCAACACACATAAATCACAGCTTGGTTGATCAGGGTATTCTTTGGAAGCATTTATCAAGTTCTCTTGAACACCAAGAGAGGTCGGCTAATTATGCCCCTTATAGTACTGTACGGTATAAGCAATTTCAGTGTATTCAGATTTATTTTGTTGATGCTAATCTCTGAATTCCAATAACAAATAATGGTAGCTGGATATATTACACAAATGTCTGGTGCACCCAGTGTACCCATCTTTTGCAATGTAAATGTTTGTTCCAACTAATATTTTGAAGAATCAGTTTCTATTTGAGCAGGAGTACAGAGATGTATAAACGATGTGCAGAGTGCATTACGCAACACTGCAAAACAAAGGAGGCTAGAAGTGCACCATCCTTGTTTACATTCCAGCTAAGTGTAAAATGCAAAGCAGTTTGGAACACACACACACACACACACACACAAAAACAAACATCCACCCACCCCCCTCCCTCCCTCTCATGCTATTTCCCCAAACCATACTTTTACCAGTAACCATGTACAATAAAGTATTTGTTAGTTACATTCACCATCTATTCCATCTATAATAAACTGTTATTATAGAGAAGAAATAGTATTTGAATAATGAGTTTTCTATTTTCTGTATTGTAATCATATAATATAGGTAATTAACCATTTTGCTCATCTAGTTGGGTGCTCAAAAATGTTTGTTTAGTCAGATTTGTTACCCCCTCAACACATTTAATAGATTAGTCATTGTTTAATATCAGTTTTCCCATGAAAATGGCACATTAATGATCATGTACTTTACTGTACTCTGAAATTCACATCTTTTAAATACAACATTATAAATGTTAAATATCAGTGGCACTGGCATTTTACATTCTTCGTTGGGATTAATAGTTGGCTGGGATATAATAAATGCTTAAATTAAGCTCAGCTTTTGCCTTCAGCAATTTCAAAACAGATTAACAATTATTAGTATTTGTTTTGTATAACAAGTAAACACTGGAATGTAGATTAGTTTATATATATCTCAAAAGATCAATTCAGATGGAGTCACATTCAGCATGGAAAATTTGTATTTATGTGGTCAACATTTGTATAATTCAGCAAGGTTAGAAATTTCTTTCTACTGTACCAGTTCGTAATATCTAGAATTAAAGCAATACAGTGGAATCCCCAAAACTGCATATCAGAATGGGATAACCTCCTATGTGTGTTTAAAATTTCAAATGATTCAAAAGGCACACTTCTTTTTTTTATGCTGGACATTAGTATTATATATTTTCAGTGAAACAAATTGCTGTAAGCAGTAACTTTAGGTCAAAACTGGATGCTTGATGAACATTTTTGTAAATATTTAGTTTGAGCTTTAAATATTTTTGTCAAGTGGAGTTATCAGCATTATCCATTGAATCTATTATCCTCAAATGTAGTACAAATACCAAACTATGAAGTTGAACCATATCTTTAATCATAGACTCTAGTACCCAATCAGACAAAATCTTAACTTATCAAATCATCTTTTAATCCATCTTGAATCTAAAAATGTTAAACTTCATCCTATGTATCATTGTTATATTTTATTCATTACCCATTTCCAGATTTTTTTTAGTAGGTCTATAAATAGCTGCAGTGCAGATAGTTTGAGCAATTTAACAACTTGCATATTCAAAAGCAAACATGTAAAAGTTACTTCATTTTTAATTTAGTTTTTGGTATAAACTCCAGATGCCATATTCACATGTTAGGTGAATACTCCATCACATGAGTAATGTTAGTCCTCTCTATGGCTATTAAAGTTTCTACAAGTTATTATTTCTGCAAATTAATTGCTGGCCACTATATTTGGATATGGGTAATTTTATTATTATTTGACATTACAAGGTTGGGAGATGGATAGACAGATGTTTGGGAAACACTGTTTATGGGCTTGAAATAGCCATGAAGAATCATCGCTTTATTTGTATGTACAAAGTTTGATTTAAGCTTTTAGATGCTAAATATTATATTTCATACACACACACCCAGTTTTGTTAATTATTTTTAACCTACTCGAATTGAGGAACTTATGCAAAGAGCATTTTATAGTTTGTGTCTCGTCTTAAGGTGTGTGTAAAATGAGGCACTTACATCGCACTGCAAACACATCCACAAGTACATGGTCCACATATGCCATGACAGCTGAATCCCAACAAGTTGTATAAAACACTGGAGTTTAAAATATATTGCATGTACTATGTATTTAAAGATATTTAAAGTGCAAAAACTGTACACTTCTAATTTTCAGGGCTGTGAAATTTGGGGCTTTTACTGTTAAAATCTTGGATTGCATTCCTCGATGTCTTGCAGTCTTAACTATTTTACCTCAGTGATCAAGTAGGTGCCCCTGTGATTTAGCATATTAGGTTGGTATTGCCCATGGAAGCATAGCCAATTATGTTCCTGTTGTGAAGAGATTGTAGTCAAATTTGATAGATCAAACATTTTGCACGTTTGTACTGATGTTACACCTTTATTGATATAATACTGTAGCTTTAAGATTCTTGACTGGATTTGTGTGTGTACAGCTTTGGTAGAACTTTGAAATTTGTTTTGTAGGCTGTTGTAAGTGGCAGTGTGACAACTTTGGTGCTGTTTGTGATAGATTTCAATAAAAAAAATGGCATGTTCCAGTGCTCATTTATTACTGTTCTAGTAGTATAAATATGCAATATTATTACCATAAAGCATAGTATAATACTTTTGCAAGTGTAATAATTAAAAGCAGTTGTACCTGTGATGTTAATCTTGCCAGCAAGGCAAACTATTTTAAACTCCCCCATATGTATATTAATTCTGTGTATATTTGTTTGATATTTATATGAAATAACTATCTCATTCATTGTTTTGGTTTAATCTATTTCAGTATAGGTTTCAAAACTAATGTCTGCACTCCATAACCTTGATCACTTACAATGATGCAAATGTGTCCACAAGTATAGCTGTCTAAATTTTGTTTCACTTGCTAGATGCCTTTTGAGTCATGATGATAGTAATACAAGCCCATGTAATTTACTTACCTTCATAAAGTAGAGATATTTGTGCTTCTTGTGATTGAATCAGTGTTTGTGTATTCTTGAACTAAGGTTTGCATTTGTATCTTTGAAGAAGGCAGTGAAGGCTTTTCTACAACTATTGGGTGTTCAATATTCAAAATGTCTCTCATGAAAAAAAATTTTCCCTTGTTCTGAAATGATCTAAAATTTCTGTATTAATTCTGAACATTGAAAATAAAATTTTGAATACTGTACAGATATTTACTAGCTTCCAGGGAAAATTATTTGCATCAGTGCCAGGCATATGAAATTGTAGTCTTAAAAATGAAAGTTTATACGTATATGTAATTTCTCGACCTCATTCCA